GTTGATAAGGAATTGACTGCTTCAGAGGAGTCTTGTGCTCCAAAAAGGAAACACGTTAGCTCGAATACGGACGATGATAGATTAGGTCTGCCAGTTCAGGCCTTCTCAATGTCTAAGATGTCGCGCTTGAAGAGGAGGAAATTGGAGACGAGATTGAAAGATGAGCTCGAACAAGTTAGAGCACTGCAAAGGAAGATATATTCATTGAGCTCAAATGCCATGATTCTTTCACCCACTAAGGATACACATAGCCATGGTGATGGGACAATGAGACCTGCTCCTGTGGCAACTTTTCCAATGTACATGAATAAAGTGGCTGCACCACCCGGGAAGAAAAAGTTTCCCCTGGGGAGAAATGGTCCATGCACAAAAGGTGGGACTACAACGTTGATAAAACAAAGCAAGACACTGTTAAACCAGTTGATGACACACCAGCATGCATGGATTTTCAACACACCAGTTGACATCGTAAAATTTAATATTCCCGATTACTTCAATGTGATTAAGCATCCAATGGATTTGGGAACGATAAAAAGAAAGTTACTTCGGGGTCAGTATCAATGTCCAGTGAGTTTTGCTGCAGATGTTAGGCTTACCTTCAATAATGCAATGACTTACAACCCGCGTGGAAGTGATGTCTATTTAATGGCCGAGACAATGAACAATTTTTTTGAAATGAGATGGAAACCAATTGAGAAGAAGATTCCTAGAATAGTTGATGAATCCGTGCCTTCAAAATCAAGTGTTATCTTAGAATCTGAAACTGGTTTTTCCGTGCCTCCTGTTAAGGAGCAGAAAACCAGTGCAATGAAACACAAAGTTAAGCAGGATCCGGTTAAGTTGGTGATGAGTGATGTTGAGAAGAAAAAATTGGGTGCAGATTTGGAGGCCATGCTGGAAGAATTGCCTGAAAGTATTATTGATTTCTTGAAAGAGAGCTGTTTGAATGGAAATCTAGTGAACGAGGGTGAGATTGAAATTGATATTGATACTATCAGTGATGATACGCTATTCAAGTTACGTAAGCTTTTGGACGACTATGCATTGGAGAAGAATAATCAAGCAAAAGTTGAGCCATGTGAAATTGAGGTACATCTGTGCATACAATTCTATGCTTGTGCACACATCTTTTATTGTATATAAATCTTCTTACATTATATCCACGTGTAATACTGGTATATAAATTGTTTGCAGACACGCAATGAATCTGGGTTCCGCAAGATATTCATGCAAACTTTCGAAGGTAATTCTCCTTTCTGCAGGTGAAGTTGCATATGTCCTTGGGTTAACAAGATGACTCACTCCCCTTCCACGTTTTCATCAGGAAATCAGCCGGCCGATGAGGATG